TTCAGCAAGTTACGGAGATGGTGGAGAAGTGTAGATATTTTTAAGAAAGCATACATAATTTTGCCGATTAATGAATCGTAAGTTGCTTCTTCTCTGGATAATACTTCAATACTAAATGGTAAACATTTACTTATTGGCAAGAAAGGATTACCTTTCTAAATAGTCGATGGAGTCTGGTTGACAGTTAGGCAACAGTATTCTTATATAACATGTCATGTATATAATGGATATCACGTTGTGATCATGCAAATTAGGGTGCACTGGAGCTTGATCATTGTTTGCATGCCTACAAAAGAGGCAGATTCTGGGCCAATAATGCTTCACTTGGACTCTCTTGGTATTCACTCCAGTCAAAAGCTTTTTGACATTGTTAGGAGGTATGTAATCACCAGTGTTACAATGCTAAGAGTTTTATTTTGAGCCGTCTCGCTGCAAGTTTCATGAGTTCCGAATTCCAATACTATCACAGGTATATTCAAGCAGAATGGCGGCACTTACAGAAGGATTCTTCTTATGATATTCCATTTTCAGGGAGGATGTGGAAGCATCTTTCAAGAAATATTAATGGGGAAAAGGTTGAGGTAAGAAGCCTTGAATTCTAACCATAGTTTTCTAAATACTTGTTAAAATGACTTTGTAGCAGCTCTTTTTTCCCTTTAGTTTTCTTATTTGACGTATCTTTTTCTAATGCCACCTTCTATTTTCATATGCCAGGTGCCACATCAGCGTAACGATTATGATTGTGGCCTCTTTATGATTTACTATATTGACAGGTTTATCCAAGAGGCACCAGAGAGGTTGACAAAAGAGGGCCTTGGCATGGTACAAATCGCATTGCTCCATTATTTTTGTTCTCTTATAGTGCTAACTCCTAACTACTAACGCACAATCTCTGGTTCTTAGTTTGGACGCAGATGGTTCGACCATAAAAAAGCTTCAGCGCTTCGGGAAGGGATACGACAATTACTGTTTGATCTATTTGATAGTGCTCTAGACGACGATGGACCATCGGAGCCAGAGCTTCATCCAGGTGAAGACGAGGACATTCGGATGGCCTGAGCCTGCTGTTCCACAATTATGCTGCTTTGATTGGATATGTAACCTCGACAGAGGGAATGTCCCGTTGGTGAAATTGTTTACACCCTCGTTCACTCCAAGTGAAGTTTGGCGGTGGAGGAAATTGTTTACACCCTCGTTCACTCCAAGTGAAGTTTGGCGGTGGAGGAAATTGTTTACACCCTCGTTCACTCCAAGTGAACTTTCGCGGTGGAAATGTACAGTTCAAGATTATGCTTAGGCATGCAAATAAAATCTTCCCAAATAGAATTTGCATGCTTATATATCGTTAACATATTGATATAAATATCTGGTAATCTGCGATCAAGCATTTTAGTTATCTGCTGCTTGTTAAGAGCATAAAGATGAAAATAAACTTAAGGCCCTGTTTGATTCTTGGAATTGAATTTATTTTAATAATCATAATTTAGACACATATTAATTAAGTAAATAGTGGTATATATATATGGATTATATTTGGATATTAGTGTTGGCTATACGAGAGAGAGATTTATGTATCGCATTTCTATCGTAGGGGAGCGAGTTGTAAGTTGCAAAGTAAAAATATAGCACGGTGATATGTAGAATTTATTTTCATCTTCCACCCTATGAATTTAAGATAGACTGATAAATGAATTTTAGAAAGTGGTGGAATATCAAATTCTAAACCAAATAGCCTGATCTATTATATAGATTTCAATTCCTCCAAATGAAAGGATTCAAACGACCTCTAATTATAATTTAGAATGCATCGCTTGAACCGTATTTTGTGCACGAACAGGTAAATATCAATCTCACGATGCGCCAGATAACAAATCTTTGATACTAGTCATGTAGATGTCATATTAGAATCCCATGGCACACCAGACAAGGAAAAGGAGATGACATGGAATACAAATAATTCAAGGGATGGATATCATAGAATTAAGATAATTGGCACATGAGACCATAAGTTTTTGGTCGCAAATTTTACAGATTCCAAAAGCAAAAGTCCAAGGGTGCACTCCGCAAGGCATGTAAAAGTGTTATTGGAATCCTCTAGTACAAAGGTGAAAAAACAGGCTCTTGTGATGGATACACCATTCCTGTTATAGAGGTGTAGCAAATCCTGTGGAAACAAACAACAAACAATATAGATAAGAACAACAAAGCAGGCAAATGGGGGTGAACAGAAAGTTTGTGATAGATACACATACACAGAAAATAGTTAAAGGGTAGTGCTTGCTGAAAATGCCAATCATATGCACACATAAAAATTCATAAATTACCAAGGCCATCAATATAACTTGCATCTGTGGCTTATTTAAAAGTAGAATTGAATCATTTGGCAAGAAAAAATAACTTCACTGAGTGATTCAGACACAAATAAGGAACTGTCTGTACCAACAATTTGGCACAAAGTGTTGTAGACACCTTAAATGCCCCTTGAGTACAATTCATAGATCTATAGTTGCCTTTTCAAGCTATCAGCAACAGTCTTTAATAAAACAGAGAAAACAATCAGATGGGGTATGTGACAACACATGAACAGCAATTGTAAAAAAAAGGTAAAGTCTTAAAGATGTTAACAAACGCTTGCCGATTGAAAAAACATCAAGAAATATGTATTTGGCTAAAAAACCTATTCTAATAAAAGACGTAGCAACAATCTGTACTTAGTCAAATGATGTTGGCAGGATGCTAAATTAGTAGACACCACAAACAGTAACTTGTGGGTTAGTCAGACAAGTGCATCCTAACCATTGTGGCGATATTATTTGTTAGGAAATGACAAACATATAGAGCACTAAGAGAAGAATGAAAAATACATCAAAGTTCTTCGATCCCATCCACCAAAGATGCCACTACTAAAGAGGCAGAAAATCAAGGCCATTTTGATCCAATTTTAGACACTGGCACAAATATAGCACTAGCCAGTAGCCTACCTTAATACAATACTTCTAATTTCAGGCATACATTCAAATTTGAAGTGTCCTTGGTTTCTAGCCTATCCTCAATAACAATCTCAAATGGGCCTAAAAGAGTGTAATGTAGGTGAAGTACTTACATAGCAGAACTATGTTCAATATGTAATAACAAACATCAAACTGAAGAGAAGAGCGAAGCAATCAGATTCTGATCTGACACAGTACCGTTAACTCATTCGATGTAATATAGTAAGTCTCGATGGCATGCGCCATTCAGGGAATCACGGTACCGAAATGGAGCAAACGGATCAAATCACTTACCTTCGGAGAGCCAGCCCCAAGAGCCAGGCTTAAGCCCGAGCATGGAGGTGAGCAGCGCCGACGCGGTGGCGTTGTGCATCGGCATCAGCGAACCCTGCACGCCGCCGAGCGCCGCAACCGGCACCCTGCACCACCGAATCTGAGCTAAGGAGAAGAACAAAAATGCTCCGCTAGAGAATCAGAGGCTCCAGGCTACCTCGAGATCGCGAGGCGCCGGCGGGAGGCGCGCGGCAGGGACGCGGCTGCCAGCTCCGGAGAGCGAGCCGCCGCCTGGCGGGAGAGCGTTGCAGAGATAGTAGACGGGGAACCGGAGCGCAGCGCCGCGAGGGCTCGCCGCACGCCGCCAGCCGCCGCCGCCATCGACGGGTTCCGTTGTCCTCTAAAACCCTTGTTGGGCTGTTTGCAGATTTGCGAGGACGCCGAGGGGCCGAGGGGCTCGGTGGACCAGGTCTATAACACAGGTCCCCAAGACCGTCTGCAGGTTGCAAAGCAACTGACAGCGGGTTGCAGAGTTGAGCAGTCTGTTCATTTTGGTTTGTTTTAACCAAATCAAATCAAACCAAGTAATCAATAGTTTTTTTTATAAAAAAAAGCATCAGCCAAATTTTAAACCAAAGACTAACACCAACCAAATGAATAGACCCGAAATCATCAAATGTGCTCAAAGTTGATTGTGTTTTTAGACGCATTTGGGCCTTGGTACCCGGCAGCATAGTATCAACTTTCAAATTTTGGACATGCACATTAAGGTGACATTCGAAACTTGAGATTTCCATGGAAATCCAAGCAAAATTCATATACGCGGGCAAAGGGAAAACTTAGGGTGTGTTTGGTGTTTCTATACGGTAAGCTTGGCTAGAAATATAACTCGCTATCTTAAGCCTGTCCATGTCAACACAATCTAGTCGTGTTTAGTTATCAGCTAGCTAAGCCTGTATTGGCTGGTTCATGTTTGTTTGCCTGGATTACTTGGTCCTATTACCTCTTCTTTGGCACGGTGATCTTACCTCCGCTACCTTCGTCGTCTCTGCTCGTCATCAGCGCCATACCCCTATGACTGCAAGTACGAACACCGGATAACAAATCGGCTTGCATCTCCATGGTACAGACAAATGCAACAAATTCCATTGATCTTTGGGTGCAGAGCAACATTATAAAATGCAAAAAACTAGAACCAATGGGAAAAAGTAAATCCACACGCAAAATCAATCCATCAGAACAAGCTAAACGATATTAAACAGCCCAGAATACTTGACTTCCCGATCATCTCTAGTAGCAGATTTCTTTAGAAACTCGACTCAAGAGTCCAGAGGCAAAGGAAGCCCAATCCCGAGCTGAAGCCAAACAGGTACAAGGACAAGATTTTGCTAGCTATAAGCAATGGATACAGAATGCAGTCAGAAAGCTTAGCTGAATCAAAGTTTACATGCCAGGGGACCACAACCCAATTACATTCTACTGTTTTATTTTGGTGGCAAGTAACAAATCAGAGACAACAGTCGTTAAAGCAAAAACTCAGGCTTAACGTATGACCTGCAAAATAGAACACTAGAGGGGCTTAAGGCCTGCTTGTCCCTGATGACATCATGTCCCTGACATGAAACTATCAGCTAACTAAATGTTAGATAGGCATCAGCCTACCTTCAGCATATAAACAACCTATAGCGGTCTTGTGCCGATCAAAATTGACTAAGATGCGGACTGCTATCATCTTGTTTACCAGTAGTCTTTGCAAGAGCACACACCATTTTCAAAGTGGTGGAACCTCTTTGCATCCCTTGCAATGATCTGACGGCCGACAAGTTTCGAGATTATCTTGAAAGCCGTGTGACAGTCTCCACATGACCGAAGATTCTTTATAACTCTAATAGGCGAACGGGGAGCACTTGTTATAAGACCGTAACTGATAGCCAGCCTCTCACTGTGAGCAAGTAAAGCATCCTCTTTGGTTTCTTGATCAACATCATGAAGAACAAATCGAGTGTCAGCAATATACCCAGCTTCTTTCATGTGAGCCAACAAGTACCTCAGCTCTTCATAGATCTTAGGAGTGTCAGGGTGGGATCGGTCTCCAGCTCTGTATTCATGGACCTTGCTCCGAGCTTCAGCAACACTTGCCTTTTTCCTTTCCTTTTCCTTTGCAAGGTCTGAAGCATTGACAGGGAAAAGACCCATTTTAGACTGTTCATTCAGCCTAGAAGAATCCAAGCGCTCTATGATTTGAGCGCAACGATCTCCAAGCTCTAAAAAGCCATTAAGTCGACACATGTTCATCAAATTTTCCCATACCTCAATGCTTGGTTCCACAGGCATCTGTTCCACAAATTCATAGGCTTCAGCAATGTAGCCAGACTGTCCAAGCATACTAATAATGCTTGCATAATGTTCCATAGTGGGATGTATGCCAAAATCTTTCTGCATGGATTCAAAATGCAACATTCCTTCATTAACAGATCCCAAAATTCCACAGGCCAGGAAAACATGTCTGAACATGCCAAGATCTGGCTTACCCCCTGTCTGCTTAAACCGATCGAAAAAATCTATTGCTTCTTCACCAAGGGTATTATGCACAAAACCTGAGATCATAGTGTTCCAAGAAGTCAAATTATGATGATCCATAGAACTGAAAAGCTTTTTTGCATCTTCCATTGAACCACACTTAGCATACATCTTTAGAATTTTGTTTTGAAAATCTGTATCAACAAGAAGTGATGATTCAGAAATTTGACTATGTATTAATCTTGCTTCTGAGAGCGCAGTTGCATCACCACATGCTTGCATCAATCTGAAGTAATGAGGAGCATGTAACACAATTCTGTTTTCCTTTAGCATAGCCAGAACTTCCAAAGCTTCTTTTACATTGCCATCTTCACAAAACTTCTCCAGTTCTTCAACAGTACCTTTGTGTTTGCCGCCGGCTTTAGGTAATTCATAAGGCGATCCAACATTTGAAGGGTTGCCCTGTAGCGACTGGTGATATTTGTCATCTTCATGAGGTGCACTGTTTAAGTGGTTCCCAAATGATCCAGCAGATTGCGCATGTGAATGTTTTTCTTGATGAACTCCATGAGAGAGGCGTTGTGCATCTGCATTTAGGTACATGGAATATCCTTGAGGAGTACCATGTGTATCAGCCTGCGAAGTGAAATGAGGGCTTTGATACGCCTGCGAAGCATTATATCCAAAATTACTATTGTTGCCTTGCTGAAACCCTGCAACATGCTCCTTATGGAAATGAGTTGGATTTACATACTGAGAGGGATGATTCCCCGATCTATCTGGATAACTTCCCCCAGATCTATGATCAACATATTGCTGTTTCTGAACTCGCTGGTTATTTCCAATTGGGTTTGGACATGCTTGTCCTGAAGGACCATATCCGTACTGCCCATAATTAGCTCCTTCTCCTTCATAAATCTTCTGGTTACTTTGGGAGTTGTATCCAGAGCTATATGTACTATTAGCTTCTGTGCCATTGTACTGTTGACGATCATTTGGAAAATACCCATCAAGGCCTTGCTGGCTGTATGCACCACTACCTCTGTAAGGTTGCAATGCATTATATCCAGATGCCTCATTATTCGCTCTTGCACCAGTATACGGCTGATGACTGTTTCGAAATCCATATGATCCACCACTTCTGTAATGTTGCTCAGAACTACCACCAACATCCACACCCCTATTTTTGTGAATACCTGTTGTGGAACCAGCTGAAGGGACATCTCTCTGAAGTTGGATGTTAGAGCCGTTTGAACGGGAGTCAGCGTAGCTACCTGCTTTGTTTTGTCCCCACTCGCGCTGATAGTCTTCATCAGTCCATTCAGATGCAAAACTGCCAGCCCCTCGATGTGGAACCCAAGACTGCAGACAAACTCTTTCAGCTGGAAGTCTGCAAGATAAAAGAACCATGCTTTTAGGATGACCCTGAATTGGAAATTTTCAGGTGCAATGTCACTCGTAACAGGTAAGTGTTTTTTTTTTCTTTTGAAAAGACCGCATCTGGATCAGATAAGTAGTGAAACTACATATTTTTAGGATTAAACGTAACAAGAGACGTTCTAATGAACAGAAAACACGAATTAGAATTACTATGGCCAAGGACCAAGGTGTCATTTCATGTTCTAATCAGGCCACAATGAATAGAAATTTCCTTCCCCGAACAATTGGCTACTTTTTTTTTAAGTTATATTCTGTTCCGTTCTTAGAAACAGAGGAACAGTTTACCGAGAACCAAATCGCTAGAGAAGATCTCCCAACTCTAGTCTAGAAAAAGAAAAGATTATCAACAAGGAATAGCATCGCGTCATATATGAATCAACGAGACACCACCGAGGTAGTGGTACAGTACCTGGGCGGCAAATCCACGCGCCGGTAGAGGGGCGCTGGCGCGGCCGACGCCGCGATGGCGCCGCGAGGGGAGAACCGGGCGGCTAAGAGCGCCCTGCGCGCTCCAACCATGGCAGCCATCTCCCACCCTCTCCCTCTGTACCTCCCACGTCGCTCGCCTCCTCCCCTTTCTCTTCGTCGCTAAAACCCTCGCGAAGGCGAAGCGGCGGCTGCCCCCCGCCGCCAAGGAGAAGCGCTGCCTGGGGTCGGCCGTGCGTCGCGTGGCTGTGGAATGGGTTGCTGCGGTGCCGTCGTGGGTTCGTTGCGGCTATCGGGCTGGGTAACATAGTTCTGGTCAGTGACTGGGCCGGCTCAACGTATCATTGGTTGGGCTCACCCGTCTCGTGGCATCGCAAGATTGCTCCACTAAGGGCCCATCATCACAACACCGAGGCAGCCGAGAGCCGGACCCCCGCACATGCCGCAGCACTCGAGAGCGCAGCCAAGCGGCGGCGCCCCGCCTCTGACTCCGCCCCAGGTCGCTGCGTCCATGGACCCCTCCTCGCAGTCGGCGCCTCCCACCGGGGACGACCCGGCTGCGGCGGCGGATCCCGAGCTCCCGAGGCTCACAGTGACGCAGGTGGAGCAGATGAAGGTGGAGGCCAGGGTTGGCGACATCTACCGCGCCCTCTTCGGGGCCGCGCCCAACACGAAATCCATCATGTGAGCATCCCCGAGCGCACGCTAGTTTTCTCACTTCTATTAGGAGATAGAGATATCCCCGGCTGACGGCAGGGCTACGCGGATCTCGACGCATGGGTTTAGTTTGGATATTGGAGAATTTGACTGACAGGCTGTAGCTTGAAAAATGGCTAGTCCTGTGATAACTTTAGCTGTAGCACCAGATAGTTCAGTGCAGGGTTCCTGATTTGGTGCTTACAGACGCTTAACACTGCTATTTATTTGTTGTTGGACAGCGTATTATACACAAACACTTGAATGGGAGTTGATATTAGGGTGTCCACTGCCTCCTCATCATAGGCTTTTGTTGTCGAGTTGTTTTCTGTGCAGGCTAGAGCTGTGGCGTGATGAACATATTGAGTATCTGACGCGTGGGCTGAGGCATCTCGGGCCAGCCTTTCATGTTCTAGATGCCAAGTAATGATTGTGCATGGTTAAGTTATCTTTAGTATATCCTGTTTGATTGTGGCACTAATGCATATTTGTTCTGGTATTGTTTTTCATTGGTTTCAGTCGCCCTTGGCTGTGCTACTGGATGGTTCATCCACTTGCTTTGCTGGATGAAGCACTTGATGATGATCTTGAGAATGATATCATAGACTTCTTAGCTCGATGTCAGGATAAAGATGGTGGATATAGTGGTGGACCTGGACAGGTTGCTCCAATCTCAAAACCTTTTGAGCCCCACACTTTTGAGCTAATAATATCTTTGATTTTGCTATTTGCATTGATTTTTTCAGATAAGATTTTAGATTTATGCAGTGTATGCATTAGTCTTGGATATGTCCAATGAAACACTGAAGACATTATGTTTGTTGTTGCAGTTACATTTTTAATTGATATTAGGATGTCCATGTAACAAACAAAATACGTGCCAGTGACGGTGGGTACTATGCTTTGGATTTGTATACTCAAGGTTATCTTTTTTTGATAGCAAAGCTACATTATTGGGTGCTTTGATTTAGCCTTCTCATTCAGTTAGCATAAGTTTTTAACCAGAAATCTTGTTTGTTATTGATTTATAAAGTTAGTTTGAGTTCATTTATGTTGAGTCATTCAAGAGGGTAAATTGTAGTTTTTTTTAGACATTCTTTTGTCCACGTCCTTTGCAGTTGCCTCACCTAGCTACGACTTATGCTGCCGTAAATACACTTGTGACAATAGGGAGTGAAAGAGCACTGTCATCAATCAATAGGTAAATCTCATGGTTGCTCTACAGCAAGATCTGCTTTACATGAGTCATTTTGTTAATAATGTTTATCTTGTTGGTCAGGGACAACTTGTACAAGTTTATGCTTCGGATGAAAGATATATCAGGTGCTTTCAGGTACGCAACCTATCAGCATGGATAATGTACAGAGACCACCTTCTCATTTGTAGCTCCTTCTGAGGTGATGCCTGCCACTCATTTTTCCTTTGCCCTAGAATGCATGATGGTGGTGAAATTGATGTCCGTGCTTCCTACACCGCTATATCGGTGAGTTTCTTGTGGTCCTTCACGATTTTTCTGCAGTTACTTGATATTTCCTGGTGTTGACCTTAGGTTGCCAGCCTTGTGAATATTCTTGATGTTGAACTGGCAAAAGGTGTTGGCGACTACATAGCAAGGTTTTGTTTGTGTTATATAAATGCATTTTTTTCAGTTGCAAAAATTGTTGCTTGGTCACAGTTCTTTTCTAGAATGTTGCTCAATTGATATATTATATGATGACTGCAGTTGTCAAACTTATGAAGGTGGTATTGCTGGGGAGCCTTATGCTGAAGCACATGGTGGGTATGTTTCTGAGGATTTCTGTAAAGTTCCAAATTTATATGTTAAGAGCATTAACAAAAGTTGCTTTCATAAGGTATACGTTCTGTGGATTGGCTGCTTTGATCCTGCTTAATGAGGCAGAGAAAGTTGACTTGCCTAGCTTGATCGTAAGACAACCTCTTCCTCCCTTAGTTTATTTAATTTACTTATATAATTATGATGTGTTTTGTGTATTAGACCATGAAGTTGTTCTTTTAGGTCCTTTGGTGAAAGTGCATGACAAGTAGTCGATACTTGTGTGTTTGGCTGATGCAACATTTGTTTTTATTACAATACCATTTGGCGTTGTTGCTGACATCTTCACCATTTAGGGTTGGGTGGCTTTTCGTCAAGGGGTGGAATGCGGATTTCAAGGACGAAATAATAAATTGGTTGACGGTTGCTACTCCTTTTGGCAGGTAATTGTAACATCTGTCTACTGTTATCTTTGCCACATGTTGTGCTCCATGTAACAGAAGTCTAGTGTGTGACCAGGGAGCTGCCATTGCTTTAACACAAAAGTTAATTACGATTGTTGATAAGCAATTGAAGTCCTCGTATTTCTGCAAAAGGCCATCAGGAGAGGATGCCTGCAGCACCAGTTCATATGGGTGCACTGCGAAAAAGTTTTCCTCTGGTAAGAATCAGGACCATCCATAATTTTCTTATGAAACAAAAATTATTTCTTCATTTTGTTTGTGATAAATATGAAAGAAGTTTTGTAAAATTTTAAAACAAAAAATAGAAACGGTTCCAGATCGATGTAAATTGTAACTGATTGGAACTTCTTTATTCCTCGTACCATGCAGCAATGCACTGATAACTTAAAAAGCCCGTTTTGCTGTATGTTTGCTAGTAGGTGGGTGAGCGAACAGTACCGGTTATCAATTTTTAAAACCTTGATCTGCTTACTGGCAACCTAATGTCATTCCTCATACTGTTTATACTTTTGGTGCATTTGATGTGCGAGTTTATAATGCACCCACAAGATCATGACCTGAACTGAACTGACGTATTGATTTACAAATTCTGGGGAGCTTGATTTATGTCATCATACTCATGTGTTTTGCTTGTTTTCCTCCTGAAGCTGTGGATTATGCAAAGTTTGGATTTGATTTTATACAACAGAGCAACCAAATTGGCCCACTCTTCCATAACATTGCCCTGCAACAATACATCCTACTTTGTTCACAGGTGAGATAACTTTAAATACAATATTATTTTCATATGCAGAGTTTTATCACCAGAATGTGAAATTCTGCAATGCCATCTTATTATAGTTGTTACCACCATTTGCCCCAAATTATAGGTCGTTTTGGCTTTTCTATGTACATAGCTTTTGCTATGCACCTAGATATACGATATGTTTAGATACATAGCAAAAGTTATGTACCTAAAAATGCCAAAACGACCTATAAATTGGAACAGAGTGAGTATTTGTTGAGGAGTTGAGATCTCAGATTAAGTTAAGATGACAACTGCTTCTGTAACTCAGGTACTAGAGGGAGGCTTGAGGGATAAGCCTGGAAAGAACAGAGATCACTATCATTCATGCTACTGCCTCAGTGGTCTCTCAGTTAGCCAGTACAGTGCCATGACTGATGCGGATTCGTGCCCATTACCTCAGCATGTGCTTGGACCGTACTCTAATTTGCTTGAGCCAATCCATCCACTCTACAATGTTGTCCTGGATAAATACCATACAGCCTATGAGTTCTTTTCAAAAGAGTGATCTAATGTTAGAACCTAAGAACAATTGGCTAGGGTCGTGTGGGATTGTATTATTTGCACGGATAACAGTAACTTTTGATTTACATACCTTAGTCGTGTTATACCAGGGTATCTGTATGTTTGGTCAGGTGCATTGCCTGGATAAATCTCTCTTGGTTGTGATGTTCGCGACTCGAATTATGTTACTGGTGTTTATTATTAATTAAAAATGTACCAGAAGTGCAGCGTTAGATGCAGCATAGTGATCTGTGAATGCTAGAACCAAGTGTTTGTATGTATTATGTTATGAGTTAAATGCATGATTAGATGGTACCTGAACCAGCTGGGGTTGCTTGTAGGCAGGTAATAAGCCAAGCAAAACCATTGCTAGAAGATAAGTGAGCCATAGTGGATGCGACCAGAGCATGCTGCCTCGTGCCCTCGTCGACAGTGTGCAGTGCAGCTCGGTTCCTAGCAAAAGGCTGTTTCCCAAATTGGGTATATCTAATCTAATCTAAAAAAATGAGTCATATTCCAAAAACTGTTGGATATGAAAAAAAAGAAGATACATCACCATCCTTTATTGGTTTCTCATCAATAACAATACATACACGAAGTCATCTCCGTACATGCTCCAACACAACTCGCTGTGTCATGGTCCGTCAGCCCCACTACCCCAGCATCCTAGCTTACACCCAAAACTTCAATATAAAATCTTCATTATTTGTTATACCTCCCAATATTCTCATATCTTAAAATAGTGGCCACAATTCCGTGAACCTCCGAGACAACAACGACAGTATTCGGGCCATGATCGGACATCGTCTCACCAAACTCACGCTTAGAATCTCCAAAGTGAAATGTCCGATGCCTGCTATGTTAATAATAAGGGACAATTGCATTACTGCCCTTGTTTTGAGCTCTAATTGTACGTTTGCCCCTGTTTTTTTTATCTTTGCATATTTGACCTTGTTTTTCGAAACCTAAGCTACCGTCTGCCCCCTGCTTCTGAACACCGTGAAGTGAAGATAAATCATGGCCTAGAAAAAAATATTTGGAAAAAAGAAAAAAGGAAAAAAAGACTATAATACCCCTTATCCAAAATACATAGAGTCATCCCCGTTCTCTCTTTCACCGACGTCTTTCGAATTGGAAAAAAGAGCCCGAGCAACCGAGCGGTGCTAGGGCATTGAGAGCGCGGCGGAGGTTGGTCGGCGTGTTGGGGCACGGTGGGTGAGTTGTGCTTGTTCTGCAGATCCGGTAATTTGGGTGGTCTTCAGAAGGTGGTGGCAGTTCGAACTGGCCAAGGCTGTGGTGGCTGAGTGGGTGGCCGACATACCGCTCGAAAGGCCGGGCGGCCGGCAGACGCTCGGTTGAGCCGCCAAGGCTCGAGCGTGGACGGGCTGCCCTAAAGCATCTGCGACACAGGACGCGGGGAGAGAAGCGACGAGGGGCGCACCATTTGCTGCGACATGGGAACCGCTTGGGTAAATTTCTTGGACTTCATCCTTTCTGCATCTGCAGTAGTCAAATGGTTGTTCGCTTAGGTCTGTAGGATGAGTTAGCTTATCAAAAGTGCCATGGTTTGTAGGACAAATGAAAACCACATAAAACTTGTTATGGTTCGGGCACATTGTAGCTTGCCGGATGGGGGTCCAAAGACATAGAAGGAGGGAAACCTTGACTACAATTGTTGATAGTCATGACTATAGCTTGCTGCAGCTAGTAGATTTCATTGTTGATAGTCATGACTATAGGGTTCGAAGCAATACATTTCTTTGAGGTGGGCACTGGAGGATGATTCTATTGAGATTAAAACTGATGAACAGTTGTCCAAGTGGTTTGAGATCAACAAAGAGAATGGGGAAGTCCACATTGTTGGTCAAATCATTGACTTCGATGGTCCATTGCAGTTCTCACCGACCAAACGTAGGTTTCACCCTACTGTTCGGGGCTTTCCAACTCTTACTCCCAGTACTGCACCTATTGATTTGGATCCTTTCATAGATCCAACATGACCCTCACTCGACCTACAAAAGAGCCTGTCAAGGAAGACAAGAAGGTGCACAGGAAAGCCACAGATGATGAGGAAGAATGCAAACACTCTGACACTAAATCTCTTGCTGCACTAAGTGATAGCAGCTATGACTCTGAATTGGCTGCATCTTTTGACTCTGACCTGGATGCATCTTCTGACTCTGACTGCTCTGACCCTGAGTATGAACCTGATCATGAAATAATTGACGAAGATGACAATGATGATATTCCTATTTGTTCTTATGATGTTGATGCTCCATGTGTTGATATTGGTTATGTGTTTCCTGATGTGAATCAGTGCAAATCGACGTTGACCCAACATGCAATCTTAAATGATTATGCTTTTCGTACTGTGAAGAAAGATAACGAGGGATTTCAAGCCAAGTGCTTGAGAGCTGATAAAGGCTACGAGTGGACATTTTATGCATCTACTAACAAGAAATTTATTGGATGCAAGGTATAGCAGTTCCTTTCTTTGGTTGGGTTGTTCCATAAATTTTGATTTTTTAGACTATCATCTTCATTCACAGCTTGTTTGTTGGGCTGTTCCACAAATTTTGATTTTTTGAGACTGTCTTCTTCATTCACAGTTTGTTTCCCTTGCAGGTTAAGACGAACGGGCCCATTCACACATGCAGTTTAGTCAATAGATGTGGTGACACAATGGCATCAAGTAATTGGGTGAAAGGGTGGTAGAATTCTTGATGGATGACTCAACCTTGGGACCTATGGAGTTAGAATGTAAGCTGAAGAAGAAGTATGCACCGGAAATTCCTTACGACAGGTATTCTGGGTAAGGAAAAGACTCTTAACATGATATTTGGTAAGTGGGATGACAGTTACGACTTACTGCTCACATACAGAGCCGAGCTATAAAAAAAGTTCCAGGAAGCTTTGTTGAGCTTGATACGGAAAATCATCATGGGGATGTTTGTTTCATGAGATTCTTTGTGGCCCTCAAACCATGCATCGATGGTTTTTTGCAAGGATGTAGGCCCTACATTGCTATAGATGCTACCCATCTGACAGGAAGGTCAAGGGGTCAGTTGGCTAGTGCTGTTGCTGTACATGGGAATAATTGTCTTTTTTCGGTTGCATATGGTGTAATTGAAACTGAGTCCATAGAAAGTTGGATATGGTTCATCTAGAATTTAAAGGTTGCTATTGGTACACCTATAGGTTTGGCTATCAGCATAGACGCATGCAAAGGTCTTGGTAGGGCTGTGCAAGATGTGTATCCAGGTGTGGAACATAGAGAATGTATGAGGCATTTGTGGAAGAATTTCAAGAAGCATTACTCTGGTGATTTGTTCAACTATAACATGTGGCCGGTTGCCAAGGCTTGCACTATTGAGAAGTTGCAGATTTTGGAGATGCATGATATGATAAGGCAGATGATCATATCCAAATTTGAAGCAAGAGGAAAATTCCTATGTCAATGGAGGGTAGCATAATCCCTGATATAACAAAGGCTCTTACAGCATGTGTCATTCATGTCAAGGGTATTTTTGTCTTTTCAGTCTGTACTTAACACCGTTAACTTTCCTTTACGGAACAGGGGCAAGTGGAAGCTTCAGATTAAAAAAACAGGGACAAATCTAGACAAAGTGTAGTTAGAGCTCAAAGCAAGGACATAAATGCAGTTGGTTATAATAATAATGGTTAGAGGTTCAATTCTAGCGAACCTCCGGGCAGGGGTGACACACAGTTAGGGTCTCAGGGACGACGAGGAGCGCCAAGAAAAAAAGGGCACCAAGGTGCCAACACCGACAGGTATCTTTGTGTGTAGATGTCATCATTATTCCAAGTGCGCATAGATCTAGAGCTAGGATAAAGAGTTGTTGGAGTGTTTTTTTTCCTATCGTATCAAAAAAAAAAGATTTGAGAGTATATTTAGTAAAATGTTGCAGGTGCTCTATAAGGAAGTAAAATTCCGATCCTTGAATTTACCTGATTGTTCCATCTAGGTCCTCCAACTTAAAAAAAAATGTTTAGTTTTGGTCCCAGAACTTGTCGTGGGTGCCAGTAGAGGTCCGAATGGGTCTCATGCCATCTCAAGGGCACGTGGCAAGCTACACTGGCACAAAGGCATGTTGTCACAGTTGCCGCTAGGCATGCGGTCACTGCCGATGATAGGAGGGCCGTAGTTGGCCAGGAATGCGGTCCCCACCGATAAACAACATGCTGGGCATGTCGTAGAGAGGTTGGCTTGGGGCTGGTTTAGTTGGTCGAATTCGGCGCCGTCGGATTCACTTTACATCACTGTAGCGTACTGTATCATTTTATTTGTATTTGATAATAATTATTCAATCATTGACTAATTAGACTCAAAATGTTCGTCTCGCAAAGTACAACATAACTGTGCAATTAGTTTTTGATTTCGTCTATATTTAGTACTCCATACATGTACCACAAGTTTGATATAACGGGGAATCTTCTTTTTGTATAGTGCTAAAGTTGGGAGTTGAGAGCAACTAAACAAGACCGTGTATGGGTGTTGTGAAGTCCATGGACTCATAGGACCCCACTCTGAGGCCACTAGTGTCCCTGGGCCTGCCATATAAGAGAAAGGCTAATAATATAGTTAATTACTGGTTATATAAAAACTTATAGCTAATTATCAACTCATGTGTATAATAGTTAGCCGGTTTACAGATCACTCGTCTCTCTCACAAAACTTATTGATTATTGTGCATAAGTTGGCTGTAAGGTTATAGCCCGTTTCTCTTCTCTCTTCTCTCCTCGCTCCTCCACATCAGCATACAACACATTTACAGCCTCTTGTTATACTTGATCTAAGGAGAGGGTGGGTGAAGGTGACCAGGGGTGAAAGTGATATGGATAATCATTGGTCCGATCCGCTACAAATCAGAATTTTAAGTATATGGAGAAGTGTTTTTAATATTCGTACGGATACAGATAATCTGAATCCGATTATATGCGGATGCGATGTATGATATGGGATTGAGGAAATTCAGCAGATAT